ACTATGTAAATCCTTAGTCGGGGCCACCCCTAGTTTTTAGTATATTAAGTACAAAATTGGTGTGTAAACAGAGCACCTAAAGTACATTATGGAAGTGCACTTTTTTTCCACTTGGGTCTAAAGGAAGACTATTTTATGTTCTTTGTGTGGAAAATGTTTTAAATGGCTCAGCGGTTTAAAATGGCACCAGAAAAATATGCATCTGTGCGAAAATTATTTTAATTGTTTAGAGGTTTAACTTGTATATTTGATTCAGTTTAATACGTCGGAATCAACACATTAGATGATATTCATCTTGCTTTAAAAATTCCACAATGTAAATAAAATAGAAATGTAAGCAAAGGATATAAGCTAAACAAGTTTGTTGCCGCCTTATGCTTAAATGTTTTATCTATGGCGCTAAAATAGTCTCAGAATTAATGTATTTATGAAATATTAGTAACAACTGGATAAGCTAGGACAGGAAAATAAAACACCAGGCCCGGACAGTGTTTGAAAAGCAATTCTGAACACCACTGTGGCAGCAGTGGAGTCCTTCAGATTCCTGGGCTCTACCATCTCTCTGGACTTGAAGTGGAGCAATCACATTTGACTCGGTTTGCGTAGCAGAGGTTATACTTCCTTCACCAGCTGAGGAATTTCAACCTGCCACAGGAGCTGCTGATGCAGTTCTACACGGCTGTCATCGAGTCTGGCTTCTGCCCTTCAATAACAGTCTGGATTCGCTCAGCTGTCAAATCAGACATCAGAAGGCCACTTTGGGCTGCTGAGAGAAGTACTGGTGCTGCCCTACCCACCCTTCCGGAACCGTATACATTCAGATTGGAGAAAAAAAAGAGAGCTTAGAAAATCACTCTGAATTCCTCACATCATCTTTGAACTTTTGCTGTCTGGCTGGCGGTACAGAGCATTGAACACTATAACAGCCAGGCATAAGAAAAGCTATTTACCCCCAGGCAATGAACAGTTCGTGGCCTGTTGTCCCCACTGTGCAATAAAACTATGTGCAATATTTCGTATGTTTAACAATACCCTACTTTTTTCCCCACTACATTTGTCTGACAGCTAAAAAGTTATTTTTCTCGTAACTGTAGCATTACTGGTGGCATGGAGTTTGAATGGTTTTGCTATCATTGAATGGACAAGAATTAGATTCTGATGTTCTTGCATCTGTGTCTCGAAATGTTTTGAGCAGTTGTCATCTAGTAAAGTTTGGGCACCATTAGGAGATTTAAGTATCTTTAATAAACATGCCTTAGAAAAAAAACCATTACTTGTGTGCATCTTGAGACAAAACAATGGCACTGACATGTTAAGATCAGTCAGTGCAAGTTTCTTTCAGTTAAGACATGCATTTTAGTTTGGGGCTAGGTGTAAGTGTTGTCTGTGAAACTAACCTTACGTGAATTCTTCTGGTAGACTACATCATGAAATGCAATCGCTGCAGGGTAACAGGTGCATTACAGCTAACATTAGCATCAAGCTAAGGCTTTTTATCAAATTAATAGTAAGCTTTTACTCAAATCTCACTTCAAACCAGCATTGAGTGTTTGTAATAACTTACGATTGCGATCTAATGTGGATTTTGGTCATATAATGTTTTTGAAGTAAGTTATTTGTAGTTTTTATACTAAGCTAATAGTTACACCAGCTTGGCATTTCTCATGTAAACATTTTTTATTGTTATGAAAACACCCCAAATCTAATTAAAATAACATACAAACCATATACTATAATAATCGTGTGTTAAATAGGGCCCTATGAAATCTGATTTATTTTTTCCCAAATTCCATTTTTTCCATTCTAATTTTTCTGGAATCCTTTTTAAAGGTTAAATTACATTTTATTAATCAAAAAGCATGTCTGATTAATTACAATTATGAAATTTATACAGCTTCAAATTAGTTTATTTAATGTTTAACAAAAAAACATTTCATAGGGCCCTAAACGTGTAATTTATTTTCTTTCACCATATGTTTTATTGTTACCAAATTCTGTTGTAGCATTTCTAATTATTGGAATGCATAAAAACAACTTAATTTATTCAAATTTATTCTTAAAATAGCCTTATGAAATGTTTTATTTTTCCTCTGAGAAATTGTGTTGTGTATCTAGTTATCTAATGAAGGCATAAAACATTAATTTAATTTATCTTTAAATTATTGAAAATCAAACTTTATTTATTTATTTTGGCAAAAAAGGGGGATTTACTATTCAAATTAAAACAAGGAAGAAATGTTGTTTGATCATTACTTTAAAAAATAAAGTTTTAATAATTTTAGTAGTAGCAGTACTGCCGCAGTGTCTTCAAGTTAAACCGGGCTTTTATTTTGACAGGGTTGCCGTGAATACCTTTACAGTTCTGTGTGTATATGATATGACGCTAGTTTTACTCAAATGAAACGGTAAAATACTCATGAAGTGACTCTCAGAGCAGTTCTGGAGATGTTGTTCGTGTATTTATGTCCTCATTTAGTGAGACGACAGACGCTGAAATCACCGCGAGCGTCACATGCGCTTCAGTAACTTATGTGTGTAGTAAACAAAACCGCGCGTCTGCGCCATCCATTCATACAGAGATATGATCGCGTAATTTGAGCTAATGCTCATCAGATCGCGTAAATCAGTGGAAAATGAATAGAAATAATGATTCTGTTAAATATCAAGTAAACTTGTATAAAAATATCAGTATTTTTCCAAATATGAACTAAAAGCTCTAATGGACGCTGTTCAGTTCACGCTTGCACGTGACTGCCTGCCTGAGTTTTGTCAACAACCAGAGGCGGCACAAAATTGGTGGAGGCGGCTGCCTCATAATTCTCTATGCAGGAAAACCTCTGAAAGGGAAAGACATTTTAGTGTTAATGCTGTTATGTTTTACATTTAAAAGAGTTTCTGATTTAAAGTTTTTGTGTTGGCAGCATTGTGCTAAAGAGTAGTGCTCATTGGCTGCGCAGGTGGCTATCCATCTTGTTACCCATTTACCCAACATGTTAAGTAAGATACATTTAACATGTGCTTTGCTAACTGTTCATTTTAATCAACAAAACGTGCATACCACATTTCTCTTCCTTTTCTTGTAAACAGCGCATGGCTTCAGGGAAAGGTTTTATAGTGGGAACATCTGCTCGTGCATCAACACAACACATCATGGTGTTCTTATGAGCACGCATCGGAGAATGATGCAGAAGTGAAGAAATTGTTAAATAAAGTCATTACCGTATTGGCCCGAATATAAGACGACCCTGATTATAAGACGACCCCCCCTTTTTCCAGATGTATCTTTTGGAAAAAGGCTTTTTAAAAACCAAATCTTGTTTTTTCTCAGTAAAACAGATTTTGTCTTCAATTATTTTCATATTGCATATTTTTCCTATTTTAATTTTTGTTTTGAAAGTATGGTAAAAACTGGTAAAATATACCAACAATCACATTAAAAAAAATATACACTTTTTGATAAGTCTAGACCCTGAATATAAGACGACCGCGTTTTTTCAGATGTATTTCCAAGAAAAAAAAACATTGTCTTATATTCGGGACAATACGGTATTTTTGTTTAGTTTTTTTCATGCACAAAAGGCACTCCCATTAACTTGTAAAATTAAGGTTGAATCACTGGAGTCACATGGACTACTTGAATTATGTCTTTACTACTTCAATAGGGTATATGTCCAATGTCAGCTGACCAAACAGGTCTCATCGCTTCCGCTTGTCGGAGAACAGTTTAACAGCCATTTTAAATAATCGTGATATCTATGGTCTTTTAAGGTAGTAATCAGTTAAACTAGCTAGCTGTTTTTATTGTTGACGTTTTATTCAATTTTTATATCTAAATGTTAGTGAAAAGAATAAAAAAAATTAAAAAAAACTTAGATATCAGTTTGCATATGTGATGGACATTGGTTATGATCATCTTTGAAGGCATCTTGAGTAAAACAGCTTCATATTTAACGAAGCAAATGCAAAACGCTTGAACCGGAAGCGTCGAGACCCATTTAACTGAATACGGAAGTCTGTTGCATATAATACATATTATGTCTCCACAGTCAAGTATAGGGCATGCAGACGCAGCTGTGCATGAGACAGAGCGGAGATGACATGCTGGCCTTGGGAAAACCTCACTGAGAATTTCCTACACTACAAAAATAGTGCACAATGTACTATATTAATATGAAGGAATTGTCTGCATTGATTTTGTTTTGACAGGGGCTTTACCGGCTTTTCAGCACATAATTTGACAGCAGATTATATATTTCACCAAGAATTCAGCTCTGAAAACCACTGATATATGTTTTATTTTTGTGTGTATTATTTGAATGTTGTTTTGTATGTTTTTTTTTCTAAGCACTTTTATATTTAAAAACGTGTGAACAGGACCTTTATTTTGGCGTGGTTGTATGACGTCACAAGTCTGCGCCGTGCTCCGTGTGATTCAGCTGTAGAAAGGTTTGTTTTTAAGCATTTAAAGTGTGTCGGTGAGCCTCTTTACTAGCGATGCCAAATGAATTGAATATAACATTGCATCGCTTTATCTAACATTAATAAATGTAATTTTTGTGAATTAAACACCTCCGCACATGAGTAACAGAAAAGTAGTCTTATTTCACTACCTATATTTTCTACATCAGTTTGTCTTAAACACAAATTATTTTTTCTTCCTTTTTTTATTTTTATTTAACAAATAAAAAAAACATACAGTGGGTACATATATAACAAATATAATTTAAGAGAACAGAATAAGAAACTTGAAATAGAGCAAAGCAATAGAAAACATTTTCAAACAAGATGCAATAAATAGATTAGAATACAACGAAAGCAACAAATAATTGACCATAAAAATAAATGAATTAAATAAATATGATGAATACACACACACACACAGCAAACACAAATTAGAGCACTGGCGAGTAGTGATGAGAGAAACTTTTTTCTTTTCCTTTTTATTTATTCTCATCTTAAACATGACGAATTGTCCAAACACACAGGAACATCCCTGGTGAAGCAACTGAGATCCAAGTGGTGAACAATTATAAAGATGGCGTTAATTAAAGAGGAGAGTGAAGACATAAAGATCGAAGAGGCATTCAGAGTGAAACAAGAAGATACTGAGGAACAAACAGGTTGGTTTCCATTCTCAATGCTGAACTAAGTAATCTCATTTTTTTAAAATGTTGACATCAATGGAAATGAATGATGTTTTTAAGAATGTCATTTTAGTGGCCTAATTAAAGTTTTAATTTACATGGAGCAGGTTGCCTCATGTGGACAGTAGTGTGATATATCGGTTCTAGAAAGGTATCATGATACCCTGCAGTTAAAAACAGTACGAGTCCTCATTTCATTAGAAGCAATACTTTAAAAAGGCAGCATTTTAATAACAGCCACGTTTCCTGCGACAGCAGGGCAGTGTGCAGTGCTTAGCTTGCTTCCACTGAGGGATAGACTTATAGTCTTTATGTGGCACGCACATTATAGACAACTCAAAACTTTCAAAACTGCTTTATGGAGTTTTTGTCTACTGAAAGTTTGTTGTTGTTGTTTTATCAGCTGAACAATTGGAATGTTGTTAAACAACATTACAGTAGTACTACGGTCCCTCATAGCCTCGCTTTCATTTCCATCAAAAATGAAATTTGGCGCTACCCTGACTAAAGTGTATAAGGCTTGAAAAATGACTCCGGCATAGGTCTCTCGCATTCTTTGGTGGAGATGTCCATATCACCATCAATCATAAATGATAGGTAGTGGGCGGTAGGGCTGTCAAAATGGCTGAAAAACGGAATTCGAATTTTGTGCTTAAATATGATCAAAATTCGAATTATATTCGAATTTAAAATGCAGAATTTAAGTTAGGGTTAAGAAAAACTTTTGGCTTTTCTCCTGAGGCCACAAGAGGGCGCATCAAGCATAAGATAACATGACTATCTGTTAAAAAAGTGCATAATGTTTAAAATAATGTTTATAAACCAATTATAATTAAGTTGCTTAAACAACTATAAACAAAACAGCATCATGTATGTATTCATAGTTTAATACAAAGGGGCAAAAGCCAATCACACAGAGTACATTTTTCATTTAAAAACACGAGTTGCAGTGGGATGGGGGGAAAAACCCGCCATTAAGTCTCGAGATTTGTTTTTTTAAAGTTGAACTTGCATTAATTTTACATGGCTTTTTAAAACATGCGGCTCTCTTGTGCGAGACACGAGTGCAAATGTTATAGATGTCCCTCTAGAAAATGCGCGAAATATGCGTTCTGTGTGAACGGCTTGGTTTCAGTTTTGATGTAAACAAGATCTTCTCTGCATTGATGTTCTCTTTTCCTGCAATATTTGTAATTAACAACGCAGCAGCGCCGCATCTAGTGGCTTCAACTGGATAGGCTAACAAAAACATTAAAATTTGATGACACTTACATCGTCATCACATCTCGTGCGCCACTGATAAGTGCCTCCTTAACGCACACCTAAAATTCGAATGCAACGTTTTTGCATTCGAATGTGGATTTTTATTTTAAATTCGACGAATATTCGAAATTTGAAAAAAAAAAAAATTTGACAGCCCTAGTGGGCGGATACAATTTTGTCAGTCATCTTTTTTCGGAGATTGTCTCCTATAAATTGGCCACGGTGTGATCAGAAACCTTGCTTTCCTCAATGACATGAGGTGTTTTCAGGGCCGTTTCTAGGCATAGGCGAGCTAGGCGGTCGCCTAGGGCGCCACCAGCTGAAGGGGCGCCAATGAGCGCACGTACTGGCACTACATTTTGGCAGGGTTGTGATAAAGAGTGGCACCGTCACCCTGAAATATGAATGCCGCCCCCACTGGATCCCCCAACATCATTGGGCTAGAGTACTATCAATCTGACGATGCCTGTATGCCACTAGATCAGAGTGCTGTCAATTGCTGCCTGATTGCTGCATGCAAAGTTTGCATTTGGAGCGCTCAACAACGCCATTAGATCAGTGGGCTCTGTCAGTGCTTTGGCAAGGTAACACTTTTTTTTTGCCATGCAATAAAGCTAAGTTCAAAGGCCAATTTAAAATATTGGTACAGTAAATAAAGTGCACAAAATCAGTATTTTGTTTAGGCAGTATTTGTGGCACTTTTGTGGCACATTTGTCCAAATATTTGTGGCAGATTTGTCCAAAAGGTGTGCGTTTTTTGCGCCAATGCATTGTTAAAGGATCAGCGTGTCATGTAATATTCCCATATAAACTTTAACATCCAATTAAAAAATATTTGTATAGTAAAATTCGCTAATTCACGAGATCAATACATCCTTTATTAGACCGCTTTGTCGAGTTAAATGCATCCTTACGGAGGTGTCGAAATGCTGAATCAATTCATTCACTTCCAACAGCGCTTAATGGGAGCAGCGTCATAGAGGGCAGAGCGTCACGTTATTTAAAGGGGACGTTAACGCGTTAACGAGTAGCAAATGATTAAGTAGCTGCATTGGTTACTTTTATGCCACTGATAAAGCTTTTATATGTAGTTTGGGGTAACAAAGGGGTTTTATAGGTTTGACTGAAATAATAATGCAATAACTGACACTTTAAATCAATGTTTCAAGAAACAACAACAAAAAAATTGAACAAAAATCAGATAATGACAAAAAAGTAGCCATTGATAATATCTAAACAATATGTAGTAGTATAGTATATAGTATCCAAATCAAAATGTAATAAAATTTATTTATGTGTGATTTATGTGTAAATTATGTGCAATGTCTTCGCCACTAGGGATTGTTACATAGGGCTATACAGGCATCTAGTGGCAACACAATGATATTACAGATACTAAATTGTGCAAAATGTTTTAACTAACAGTCAATTTACAAATAATGCATTCAGATTTGTGGAACTCAATGCACTGAATCTCCACAAATTAGTGTCGTTACTATGACAACCAATTTGAATGTGACAAGCAACTGGTGTCTGAAAAGAATTATATATATATATATATAATTTGGGGGGGGGCAATAGGGATTTCGCCTAGGGCGTCAAATTGGCTAGAAACGGCCCTGAGGGAGAGGCTCTGTGAAACGTGTGACACACCGGTCCACCCAAAAATGAAAATTCTGTCACTAATTACTCACCCTCATGTTGTTCCAAACCCGTAAGACCTTCGATCATCTTCGGAACACAAATTAAGATATTTCTGATGAAATCTGAGAGCTGTCTGACCCTCCCATAGACAGCAAGGATCCTTACACGATCAAGGTCCAGAAACGTAGCAAGGACATCGGTAAACCCTTACGCAAAGAAAATATATTTCCTAATATATGAATGATCAATATATCAAACGACAAAACACATATATATCACAATATATGTAACTTTATATTCAGTAATACACTTTATAATATATAGATCAAATATGGTTAAAAAAATGCAGTATATAATACACACATATATGGAAATATATATTTCTTATATTGAACAATAATTTATTACATTTAGTCATTTAGCAGACGCTTTTATCCAAAGCGACTTACAGATGAGGACAATAAAAGCAGTCAAAACTAACAAAAGAACAACAATATATAAGTGCAAATGACAAGTCTCGGTTAGCCTAACACCGTACACGTAACAAGGTGTATATACAGTATATATATACACATATACAGTGGGGAAAATAATTATTTGATCCCCTGCTGATTTTGAAAGTTTGACCACTTACAAAAAAATTAAGGGTCTATAATTTTTATGGTAGGTTTATTTTAACGGATAGAGACAGAATATCAACAAAAAAAATACAGAAAAAACACATTATATAAAGGTTATAAATTGACTTGCATTTCAGTAAGTAAAATAAGTATTTGATCCCCTACCAACCAGCAAGAATTCTGGCTCCCACAGATTGGTTACGTGCCCAAGTGGAACACAGATACACGTAGCAAGTTGTGTATATATATATATATATATTATACACACACATAAACACACACACACACAAAGAAAAACAAGTAGATAGAATATAAAAATATAAAAAATTTTATTTATTTTTTAATTAATAAAAAGAAAATAAAGTAGAATTAAAATAGAATAGAAAGTGCATTTATGATATTCATTCATATTTAAAAATACAGCTAGTTTACAATAGCATAAGCACACCCTCTCATACCAAACATTAAGTTAACAGACTGTCACTGTGCTGGAAAGTGCACAGCCATTACTTTTTAAATGAAGTAACGTATACTTTAATGGTGTTTGGCCAATCATCATCCTAACCACGGGCTCTACTCTTTTGCACAATAGTGACCCCACAAACTTACACATACCAGAAACCCTTTTACATTTAAAAATAATACAACATTAAACACTAACAGATCTCCCCCTATATTAATACTGAGCAAAAACACGACATAACACTTCATTTTAACATTTTTACTCTCCTTTAACAGTCAGATGCAAAGCATGCTGGGAACTAGATATCTGCTGTAACTCATTCAGTGAATGTGTGTATATATGTGTGTACATTCATTCACATTTATATGGGAGCATCTATGTGCAATATATACTCAATAAAGGATCAAACAATGAATATTTATTTTTGTCTTCATTTCTAAATATATTTGTATGTATCAATATATAGCCATATATTGTCAATGCATATATTGCTGTATATTGAAAAATATAAGCACTAGTTTCCAATATATGGAAATGTATTATGTAATATATCGCATTATATTTTACAGTATATTCCCATATATTTTTGTTTCGTAAGGAAAATGGTCCATGTGACATCAGAGGTTCAACCGTAATTTTACGAAGCTACGAGAATACTTTTAGTGCGCAAAGAAAACAATAATAACATAATTCAGCAATTTTTCTCCCAGAACATAATCAACGTAATCAGCGTTGTTTACGTTCAGTAGAAACCGCACGCATGCTGAACGTAAACAACACTGAATACGATCTTAATTTGGGTTCCGAAGATGAACGAAGGTCTTATGGGTTTGGAATGACATGAGAATGAGTAATTAATAACGGACTTTTCATTTTTGGGTGAACTAATCCTTTAAGTTTCTTGCTTTTGAGTGTTTTTTGCCCTTCAGAGATTGTTCAGAGCGTATTTGCCCTTCCCATCACTGTCCGCCAGAATCTCTTCTGTCAGTCCTGCAGTGTTGTGTGTTTTGGGGCGACAGCATATCGACTGTGTCTCTTGAACAACAATCTTCCCACATGTGCTCCACAAAATGATGCATTCGGAGCTCAGGAGTCATGCTTTAAATCCACGTGATTATGGAATTGCGTTTTCAGCAAATGTGTATCCCCATGATGCACGCAGAGTCCCGTATATTGAGTCAAGCCATGTCTGTGAGCCCATCCCGTATGGCTTTTGCTCCCACCTGGTGAAGGTTTTGAAGTGACCAAGGTTAAGGTCGCTTCTGTTTATTTTTGCTGTCATGTTATGGTGTTGCAGTCATTTTCTCCTCTGCCTTTGAGTCTTAGGATGCTGGTAGACTGTACAGTCCTTAGGTGACACAATGGTGAGGGTAGCAATTATGTCATTAGCCAATGAATTGGAATGATTCTATACGGTCTTCAGATAGTTGTGAGGAGGGTGTTCTCACTGATTCTTTAAACGTCACCGTTTTCAAAGATTCCCGTTTTGGGTGTTTACACGAAAACGATAACGGTGGCGTTTTAAAAAACTTGCACTTTGAAACCCGTTTTCAAAAATATGCGATTTCAGTCCCCAAAACGCCGTTGTCGTGTAAACGAACAGGCAAAATGCATAAAAAGTTTCCCGTTTTTGCCTGAAAACCTTGTAGTGTAAACGGCCCCTAAGTATGTTTGTCTGTTGATTTATCCTATTAAACTGCAGTTAACTTGTATGTCTTTTTTGCCTTAGATCTGATGGTGTTGAAAGTGGAGAGTCAAGAACTGAATGAAAAGGAAGAGAAAGGCCAGTATGAGAAACATCATGACTTCATAACTTTTAGTTGCTCAAAGAGTGAAAAGACTTCCTCAGGGAAAAGAGCTAAAACAAGAAGTTATTTCACCTGCTCTCAGTGTGGAAAGAGTTTCAGTCAACATCGCTACCTTAAGGTCCACCTGAGAATTCACACTGGAGAGAAGCCTTACACATGCACCCAGTGTGAAAAAAGTTTCACTCAAAAAGGAAGCCTTAAAATCCACATGAGAATACACACTGGAGAGATCCCCTTCACCTGCCAAGAGTGTGGAACCAGTTTCACTCAAAAAGGAAGCCTTAAAGTCCACATGAGAATTCACACCGGAGAGAACCCTTTCATCTGCCAAGAGTGTGGAACCAGTTTCATTCGAAAACAAACCCTTAAGAGCCACATGCGAATTCACACCGGAGAGAAGCCTTACGTATGCCCTCAGTGTGGAAAAAGCTTTACACATAAAGTAACACTTAATGTCCACATTAGAATTCACACTGGAGAGAAGCCTTTCTCATGTGGTCAATGTGGAAAGAGTTTTAGAGGTAAAGTAAACCTTAATTGCCACATGAGGATTCACTCAGGAGGGAACTGTTTTATATGTCATCGGTGTGGAAAGAGTTTCACAGACAGTAAACATCTTAAGAGTCACGTAATAAGTCACATCGGGGAGAGGCCTTTTATGTGCAATCACTGTGGTAAGACTTGCACAAACAAAGGAAATCTCGAGGTTCACATGAGAGTTCACACTGGAAAGAAGGCTTTCCCATGTTTTCAGTGTGAGAAGAGTTTTACATATCAAAGAGACCTGAAACGTCATTTGCAAACTCATTCTGGAAAGACATTGCAGTAATATGCATCACACAAATACACCTGAAAGTCATGCAGATGTGAGATCTGTTTTCTTTGTGTGGAAAGGGTTTTGCAATTAAAATGGCACCAGAAAATTTGTATAAGTTTTAAAATACATTTTGAGTAATGTACGAGTAACTTCAGAATTGCAAATATTTCATAAAAAATTACATCTTACTGTACAATGCCACAAAAATAAATATAAGGACATAATATGGGGGATTTGATTAATTATTTAATAGATAATTAGTGAAAGAATGCACTGGTCATCATTCTGAATTTGAATATATATATTTTTTTAATAAAAATAAATTGTTCTTCTAACGCAAACGGCAAATTAATGTTCCTTAGAACTGGTTCTCTTTGAAATACAAATCTTGTGTAATCCCACGTATCTGTAATCAGATGCACATTTAAAACTGGAATATAATCTAATTTCAGTCACTTACATGTGTTTCATTTACACATAATCCTTTCTGGAATACAATCCGCCGTCAAAATAATAAGATTAATTATTCCAGATGCTGTCAGCAGCATGCTTATATTTCCCACGAAAACCTACTAGTACCACTTAAATTAGAAAATATTATTACAAGCTTACCATTGTGAATGGGACTAAGGTAAGGAGATAGATTTGAACACGGTACTTATGTACTTGCTCAAAAATTGATTTCAGATCATTTTTAACCAAAAAAAAGTTACGGACTGCAGCTTTAAATATAGAAACTGATTTGAATGTTTTTCACTAGTTTGTTCACAAGGTGGCAACACTGGACACAACAACAATAAATGCTGGAGTTGATGTGAGGGGGTTCAGAGATACCTGCAACTGGTTTAAACTAGTCCCTTTCAAGGAAAGTCTGTTCACTCCGCAGATATATTTGCAAAGCCTCTGGGCAGCTATTTAGGGCATCCAAGATCAGACATCGGAAAGAACTAACAGAGTCACTGGACAATGAAATTCTTAAAAATGCGTGAGCCAGAGATGTCCTCTGGTTGCCATGTTTAGGAGCACGAATAAGATTATGTTCATAGTTTGGAATTAATTTTGAACTGGGATAATGGGTCTGAATTACAGATGTTAGCTGGGAGAGAATTCCAAAGGCGAGGAGCAGCACTACTAAAGGATCTATGGGTCAGGTGGTGTATGGAGGAGACCCAATGAAGAGGAGCGGAGAGTTTGAGAAGGGGTTGTAGGGCTGAGATATGAAAGGTAAGCTGGAGCGAGGTTATGAAGACTTTTGTAAGTGAGGAGAAGAATTTTAAATGTCAGTACTGTGTGCAGGGTGAGAGATGGATGAAGGCGAGTAATATTACGAAGATGAAAGTAGCAAGACTAGGTTATACTATTGATGTGGGCTTCAAATGAAAGAGTGCTGTTGAAGATGACCCCCAAGTTCCTAATCTGGCGAGAAGGAGAAAGGGAGGAACCGTCAATGGATAGTGAAAAACTGCAGGACCTAGAAAGTGTAGAGCAGAATGCTCCACATACCCAGGCCATCTGAGAGAATGAGTTCATAGGCTAATTGATATAAACATGATTATAAGTTGATCCCTTGTCATTTGAGATGTAACTTAAAGCTTAATAACTTGTTGGGAATAAGTACAAAAATTATTTATTTGACAAACAATGGTAATTTTCTGTAAATCTACGTCAGTTACGGAAGCTTCTGGACGAACGAATTCTTCGCAGCTTTGGCGCCTCCGCTCTGTTGCTGACTCGTCAGGATTGTTGTGCGTTCTCAGTGGTTTGTTGGCATTCAGCTGATTTCATGCACGAGGTAAGCTGTCGGTGAAGCACTCGCCCAAGTGTAAAAATGCGTTGTTGCTGCCAGATCTTGATTGCCGAAAATTACATTGTGTTTGTTGCAAAACTAACTCGACTAAATCAAATGAAAAAAACATCGTAACTGTATATTTTTATGCTTTCTCAAGCTAAGCAAATTTTATCTAACGTTTTTGGTCGTAGACAATGTTGAAGATATATGTTACTGTCAAACATGCCTAAGTGGTAAATAAATAAAAAAAAGTTTATAAAAATGTATATAAAATTTTAAATAATAACAAACATGAGGGAAAAAAAACAAACAATAAAATCCTCAGAACATTTTGAACATTCAGAAGATTGTATTTTTGGATTTGTTTTCTGTATGCTTGCGTTGCTTACAGTTAAAGTCCTTCTCTGATTTTATTGTTGTTTGCAACGTTACTTGGCAAAATGTTAAAGATGTTATTATTTTTGGTATTTTGCATAGTGTCAACCGGGTGGGAGTTTTAACTCCTATTCACTGAGAATAAAAAAATATAATTCAGACAATGCAGAGACAGCTCGGGGGAATCTCCCATCTCCCCACCCTCTGAATATTAGGTATAATAACGTAACTACGTGTAAACGTTATTTGGTGTTTTTTTTCTTAGAAAAGCAGCTACAGTATATGTTTTTCTAGCATTCGAATAACTATGGATAAACCTGAAACGATAGAAGCAAGATTGGAGATTAATTTAATTTACAAATAAGGTAGGAAATGTGCATACTTTTAAATTGACACCTGCCATGGTGTTTCCCTCTTTGAGTGTGTCTTAAAAGCCAATGAGGAGGGGGATCTTAATCTTAGCACTCAACATACCCAAGTCACTGCTTGCCACTGGAGTAGAGTTAGTGCCTATAAGGAGTACTTCAGTCTTACTGCCATTAAGTTTAAGAAAATTGTCAGAGAACCAAACGTTTATTTCATGAAGACAGTAAGACAGACAGGTGGAAGAATGGAATCAGTCTTTGTAGATACATAAAGTTGTGTATTATCAGCGTAACAGTGGAATTCAATACCAAATTTAGAAAAGATATTACCAAGTGTTAAAAGATAATTTAGGACCTAGGACAGAACCTTGGGGGATACCACAGCTAACAGAAAAAAGGTTGGTAATATAAATTGTACAAACTGTGTGCAGTTGGAAAGGTATGAAGTGAACCAGGCGAGAGGAATACCAGAGATACCAACAGCAGATAAATGGTTCAACAAAATATTGTGTGAAATGGTGGCAAAAGCTGCACTCAAATCAAGCAGAACAAGAATAGATAAGAACCCGTCATCAACATCCATTAACAGACCTTTAGTTACTCTCACCAGGGTGGTTTCTGTACTATACTTAGAACAAAAACCTGACTGAAAACACTCATAAATTAATATTACTAAGGTGAGCTTGGATCTGTGTTGCAACTGCTTTTTCAAGAATTTTGGAAATAAAAGAAAGATTCGAGATGGGATGGAAGTTACCTATATTGTTAGGGTCTGCACCAGGTTTCTTAAGAATTGAAGTTATAGCAGCTATTTTAAAAGATGAAGGAACAATGCAAGAGCTGAGGGAGGTGTGAATAATACAGGATATAAAAGGAGAAATAGAAGAAAGACTATTTTTGAGGGAGCATGCAATTGGCATGCTGACTGCAGGAATGTCCACCAGAGCTGTTGCCCGTGAATTGAATGTTCATTTCTCTACCATAAGCCG